ATAGATAGATAGATAGATAGATAGATAGATAGATAGATAGATAGATAAAATTCAAGGTCATTGTCAGAAATTCAAGACCAGCCAGTGTGGGTAAGTACATGAGATCCTGTCTCAACCCTTTCCCAGATAACAAAAAGATAATAATTTCTTGCCAAGTGGTGGTGGTGCATGCTTTTAATCTCAGAACTTGGGAGACAGAGGCAGGTAGATATTTGTGAGTTTGAGGCCAGCCTGGTCTACAAAGTAAGTTCCAGGATAGCCAGGGCTATTCAGAGAAATTCTGCCTCGATAAATAAACAAACAAACATTTACCATGCTTCACTAATTTGAGGGAGGAAGATATACTTTTTTAATTCAAGTGCTATTTATATTAACATGATAGTATACAATGGGGGGGTGTTTGTGTGTGTTGTTTTGTCTGAGATATGTCTAACTGTAGTCCAGATTAGCCTCAATCTGGGATGTGTAGTAGAAGATGACCTAGAACGTCTGATCCTCAAATCACCATCTCCTGAGTGCTGAGATTATAGGTGTGTACCACCCTGATTAGTTCATGCTGTGCTAGGAACTGAACCTAGAGTCTGGTGCATGTTAGGCAAACACTAGCTAAGCTACATCTCCAGCTTTAACTTTTGTGGGTTGTTTTGTTTTTTTTTTTGTTTTTTTTTTTCTTTTTTGGTTTCTCGAGGCAGGGTTTCTCTGTGTAGCCCTAGCTGTCCTGGAACTCACTCTGTAGACCAGGCTGGCCTCGAACTCAGAAATTCGCCTGCCTCTGTCTCCCAAGTGCTGGGATTAAAGGCGTGCGCCACCACCGCCCAGCAGCTTTTGTGATTTTTAATGAATTCATAAATATCTTTACATTTTCTGGGCTTGCAGCCTAGCTCAGTAAGTGGAGATGTCTGATAACATCCACTTTGGGAGAAGCTATTGAGGAATCTTCAATAATTTCTAAGAGCATAAGGAGGTCTTGAGGAGCTCTACGCTAGGCCGTTTATTTCTCTAACTTCTCTGTATTAGTTGTTACATTTCAGTGCCTGGAAGATCTATGTAAAAGCCACATAGGCCAAATGTTTACCAAGTGCTGTCTAAGCTTGGTGCTCTTCAAGGAAGGAGCTGAGGACTCAGAACAGAGAACAAAGACCTTTCTCTGCAGGGGGCATAAGACAAACAGGTACAAGGTTTGTAGCAGAGGACTAGGCAGAGAAAGCTCACAGGGAAAACAAGCACCTAGTAGATGGAAGGGCCAGGAGGGAAGCAGCCAGGGAAGACTTCCCAGAAGAGCTGACACTTGATCTTAAAGGCCACTAGGAATTAGCTTCGGGGAAGGGTGTGTTAGAGTGAGGGAACAGAATGCAGAAAGTGTGGACGCTGTTAAGACGCTGTGGATGCTGTTTCCAGCCTTTGTCCATAGCTCAGTATGAACGTCAGCTAACGTCTGAGTACTGGAGTGAGGCTGGGGACTGTAGATGAGGCTAGCAAAGTAAGCAGGGACCCAAACAAAGAGTGGTTCTACCATATTAAGAAATGTGAATGGATTTCTTCCTTTCTTTTTGTTTATCTTGAAGGCAAAAAAGGAATAGGGAGGAGCACTAGGAAAATTGGAGGATTTTCTATACCACTAACTTAAAAACACACACACATACACACAAAATAACTTTGGCAGCAAAAGCCAGGCGAATTAGAAAACCAGGAACAAGGAAGATCATGGTCCCACCGGCCAACCCAGAAAGTGACAGGAACTGTCCACTTCAAGGAGCCATCTGATTAGTAGCTAGAAGGATCTCCAGGGGTTTGTGCATATGAACAGTGAAGGACGAGGAGGGGGTGAAAGCTAAACCCTGGCGGTCTAGCCTAGGCTTATTGGATGGATGAGACATCTTTTTTTTTTTTTTTTTTTTTTTTTTGGTTTTTCGAGACAGGGTTTCTCTGTATAGCCCGGGCTGTCCTGGAACTCACTCTGTAGACCAGGCTGGCCTCGAACTCAGAAATCCGCCTGCCTCTGCCTCCCGAGTGCTGGGATTAAAGGCGTGCGCCACCACCGCCCGGCTTTGGATGAGACATCTTTGTCTTGCACAGAGTTTAGGGCTGGAGTCAACGGCGAGGTCAGGCTAAACGTGCTCTAGTTACTGTGGGTCAGTTAGTAGACAGCGACGCAGACGGGGATTCACTCTGGGTCTGGGTCCCCTACACACCCGCCAGCCCTCCTCCCCAGGTTTCCCACGGTGGCCTCCAGCCCACCAGCAAATCTCAGGCCTCCGACCCCTCTGCATATGCTGGCCCGGGAGAGGCGCCCCCTCTGGGACGGCGCAGCGCTCGCTCCCCTCACCCACCCCAGCGAGCAGAAGGAGAACCCCGCCACCCTCGCCCAGCTCCGGCGCTGTTTGTAGGAAGCCTCGGAGGAGGGGACCTCTCACCGCCCGCTCCCTACGCCTGGTGGCTGCGTAATTCTTCCCCACGTTCCCTTCGGCTCTCGGTGGCCCGGCCCCGCCTCCCCACGGGGAAACATCCCAAAAAAGGGCAGAAAAGAAAATTCGGAGTCAAATTAGCCCGTTGGGGAAGACCGCCGAGTCCGCTGGGAGAAGGGAAGAGGAGGCGGGCGCCAGGGAAAGAGAGCGAGGCGAAAGGGGGAGCAGTCAGAGCCCGAGGGGGCGGGAGCGCCTTGTCCCGGGTGGGAGTGGGGGTGGGGAGAGCGCCCTGGCCAGCCGGGCCTCAGCCTCGTGGAAAATATGCGGGGCACGTGGGGGGCGGGGCGGGCAGGCGCTGAGGACCTGGCTCTAGGCACTGAGACTGGGAAGGAACACTAGGTTAATAGATGCCAGGCCCGTCCTTGGGGACAGCAGTCCTCCTGCCTCAGTTTCCCCAAGCACAAGAAAAGACTTAGCCACCACCTCCACGTCGGTAAGCGTAAACCTGGAGTCTGGGACCTGGGGTAAACTGAGGCACTCGAGGCGTGCAGGAGATCCGCCTCCCAAGAGACATTTAATCTGGGGGGATTTACAGGAAACTTCTAAATTAAGGGTAGCGGCTGCTGCTAACTGAGGGGGGGCACGCGGTCTCTGTGCCCAGGCAGCTGCCGTGAGCTCACGCCCTGAAATAGCCCTGGGGGCCCCAGCCACAGCTGCCGCTGGGCCCGCCTGTCACTCAGAGGAAGCGCTGAGCCCCCGGCCCAAGGGTCTTGTGGCCTCTGCTGACCAAGGCTTTTGCAGCCCTCAGTGAGCTAGTTTTGCTTCCGACGGCTGGCTGGGGAAGAGAGGAGGCGGGGCCGGGACCCGAGGGGGCGGACCCGAGGGGTGGGCGCAAGGGGCGGCCGCGCCCGGAGACCGGGCAGTGCTTCTGCCCCTACAAGGTTTGGGCCTTGGTGGGGGAGGGTCCTGGTCCCCCGGCTCCGCCCGACTCCTCCCCGCCTTTTAGGCGCCCGCGCTGCTGGGACATCACAGTCCCTCTTGGTCCTCCTGACCTGTCCCCCGTGCATCCAGTGCTCGCGGCTAGCCCAGTCTACCTACTCTTCACCGCTCACCCGTCGGCCCACTCCCCACTGCAGCCATGGACGCCATCAAGAAGAAGATGCAGATGCTGAAACTGGACAAGGAGAATGCCATCGACCGCGCGGAGCAGGCCGAAGCCGACAAGAAGCAAGCTGAAGACCGATGCAAGCAGGTGGGGCCCAGTGTAACCTCCCCTGCCCTCCCCCAGCCTCGAGTCTGCTTTCCAATGCCTTCTCATCAGTGTGAAGGCTGGGTTTCACAGGACCCTCCAGAGCTCAGTCCTAACTAGAGGCTACACTCCACCCACCATGGCCTGGGGAGTGCCCAGTTACCACCCTTGTCATTACAAAGCTGCAATGGGTCCTAGCTCCTTGAGTGTTGTCACTTTCTCCTTCCAGGGCCTCCTAACACTACTGACTGGATTGTCTTTCCAATTACCCTTCTTCTCCTCCCCCAACAATCTCCAAGTATCTCCTAGAAGACCCTCCACCCCAGCACACACACACACACACACACACACACACACACCCTGCCCAGACCTTCTGTCTTCTTTCCTTGCCTCTGGGCCCTGACCCAGAGCTGGCTGATTAAATCTCTGTCTTCCGCAGCTGGAGGAGGAGCAGCAGGCCCTCCAGAAGAAGCTGAAGGGGACAGAGGATGAGGTGGAAAAGTATTCCGAGTCTGTGAAAGATGCCCAGGAGAAACTGGAGCAGGCCGAGAAGAAGGCCACCGACGTGAGTGTGGTCTTGGGGAGGTTTAAAGGAGCCCCAGGCATGGTCGAGAAGGGAGAAAGGGACCAGGTCTCTCCAGCACCAGAACAGACAGGTTTCCTCTTTGTAACACCACCAAGGGCAGGTTTACACAAGTAACCCAAGACACTAGGTAAATCAAAACCACCTACTACTTCCCGATAGGACTCAGCCTCCTAATTCCTCTGGGTTCCAGCCCTTAGAATGTGTGGTGATCAAGTGGTGAGTCATTGTAGAGTCACCGTGAAGGGTGGGAGGTGAGAGTTTACCCTCCCTCTTAGTTAATCCTCCTCTCTGAGAATGAAGAGGAGGAGACTGCAGCTGTGTTTGGTGTGTCTGAGGAGCTAGCTAGTGTGAGGGCCAGGAAAGGTGAGGTGCTCCAAAGATGGGGCTCTGGTTTCAGTTGCAGCGCTAAGGGGCCTTTAGGAAGTCCCCACCCCTGACCTCTGGCACCAGCAGGACGGCTGCCCTGGAGCCTCAGCTCAGGTTCTGGTGGCTCTTCATTTACCCTCATTAAGCTGTCAACCTCAAGCCCAGGCCAGGCCACAGGGCAGAGCAACAGGGCCACAGTTGCCAAAGCAGCCACCTTGGCCAGGCTCTGCTTACCCTGAGATTTCTCTGCCCAGCTCCAACCAGACTTCGCTGCTTCCCAACATTCCCAACTCACATCGTGGGGCAGCCTGGCCACGTGACTTTGGATGCTCCACTTTCGCCATCTCTTGCCTCAGTTTCTCATTTGAAATTTAAGATGAGTCTGTAAGCAGGGTGTAAGCCGTGGTCTGAACACCTGAGATGACGTTTGTATTGCTCATCCTCTACCTCCTGCAAAGCCCCCGGGGCTGGGCTTCCCGCCTCTGGTCTCTAGTCTTGGTTCTCTATGTGCTCTGGCACTTGGGAAGGAATTGACCTGCAGCTGCTAGCAAAGTTGACCCTGAGCATCTGATACTCTATAAATAACCTAGGCTCAGTGCAGCTGGAGGCAAGACTGGAAACCCAAGGAGCTTGGTGGGGGGGAGAGGGGGGAAGCAGGGACAGTTGGGGAAGCCGGCAGCCCTGCCAGTCATAAATAGGAAATGCAGACCAAGTTTATAGTGTTGCCTTGAACATAGCAATTAACTTAGGCAGTGCCTTGATTCCTCTGCTCTCTTTTGTTTGCCCTTCACCCATTGGGAATGGTGGCATCTCCCCTGTGGTGGGAGAGCAGCCAGCATCCATAGGTTAGAAGAACAGACATGGCGGATATCAGTCTTAAAATGACCCTAAGACTTCCCGAGCTCGGCAGTCATTTGTTGCCCTACCACCACCATCTCTCTAGAGTAATCCCCCAGTGTCCCCCAGAGCTGTTCTCCCTTATGCTGTCCCCAGAGTGTTTCCACATTGAGTCACTGGGCCCTGTGCCCATGATGGCCTCTTGTTCTAGGTGGCCAAACTCCAGGTACTGAAGGCACCTGGAGGACAAGCTATAAACTGCTTTCTATATATGGTGATGTGTTTCTCCTGCTCTGCAGTGTTGCCCAGGGTCTGCCTTCTCTGCCAGCCCCACCCACCCCCAGTGCTACCACCCAGCTCGTCCTCTCCGCTCCCTCCCTCCCCTCCTCTAGTCTAGTCCTTCCTTCTTTTTGGTCTTAAATCTCTACAGGGGTCTCTATGATTTTGTCTTGAAGAACAAGACAGGGTTATCTGACATTTTTACAGGGATGACTCCGAGCAGGCAATGTATTCAGAATGTCACTATTTCCATAGGTGGCTTATCATTAGAACCAACTGGGAGCTTATTTTAAAAAGAGGGGGAGCAGGGGGCTGAAGATATGGTTCAGTGGTTCAGAGCCCTTACTGCTCTTGAAGAATACCTGGGTTCAGTTCCCAGGGTCTCCCAACCATATGGGCACTAGGTACACACACATACAGTATACATACAGGCAGGCAAAACGCCGATACACATAAAATAAAAATAAATACTTTATCTTAAAGGCACAAGAGTTCCAGACCCCTCCTTGGAGGACTCAGTTGAGTGAGTCTAGCGTGGAGTTGAAAACCTGTTGAATTTATGAGCCTCCACTGTGGTCCTGTGGATTAATAGGACATTATCTCAGAAGCGTCCTAAGAAGCTGTGATTGTTAACTCCGGTTTATGAAGGAGGGAACTGAGGCTTCAGGAGGCCAAATTGTGTTGCCCAAGGTCATATAACAAGTGTGGAGTAGCCAAGCCATGGCTCGAAGACGACAGACAGCCTGACTCTGAGCCAGTGCACTTAAAAACCACACTGCTGTTGTCATTTTCCTTTATGGGCAACCCTGCTCCTCCCCACGTCTGTTTCTCAGGGTAGCCTGGGTCTCTATGGACCTTCTCCAAAAGCTCTTTCCATATTCAGAGTCTGAGTATCATCACTTGCTCTCCCTTCCCCCCCCCCCCCCCCACTGTCACCTTGGCAGGGAGCCCCTTGTTACAGCCATGGTTCCTTACAGGCCCGCTTGCCTCTGAAGTCTCCGGCTGGGAAGTCTGCCTGGCAGCTGGTGATATCACAGAACTTGATTTTGTGATTGGCTGCTTTTTAGTAGCAGCAAAGTCTGGGTCCTTGCCTATTTCCCCCTTTACCTGACCCAGGCTCTGCTTTGTAGGAATCAGAGCTGCCTTAGACTTAGGTGTTAGCATTTGGAGTGCTCTCAGGGGAGCTACTGGGACCAACCACCTAATCGCTAACCCTGCATCGTGCCGGAAGAGACACCACATCAGGAGCATGGAGCTTGTGGGGGAACGCAGGTTTTTATCTAGGTAGAAGATTGTTTACATGGGGGAAATAAGTTGAAGACTTAGAAAGCAGAAAGCTAAGATTCTGGAAAAGAAATGTACTGTTCTTGGAATCTAGCAGATCCTAAGGCATAAAAAGTCCTTTGACCTCTGACCTCTGACCCACAGGCTGAAGCAGATGTGGCCTCTCTGAACCGCCGCATCCAGCTGGTGGAGGAGGAGTTGGATAGGGCACAGGAGCGCCTGGCTACAGCCTTGCAAAAGCTGGAGGAGGCTGAGAAAGCGGCTGATGAGAGCGAGAGGTGGGGAAGGGAGCCCTGAAGTAAGACAGGGTAGGGACTGCAGAGGGAGGGACCCGTCTCTGCTGGCACTGGCCCCACACACACTTCTGTCCCTGCTTCTCAGAGGAATGAAGGTCATTGAAAACCGGGCCATGAAGGATGAGGAAAAGATGGAGCTTCAGGAGATGCAGCTGAAGGAAGCCAAGCACATCGCTGAGGACTCAGACCGCAAATATGAGGAGGTGCCAGCCTTGTCCCCGCTCACTTTCACCAGCAATCCCCAAAGTTCGAGGTGGTCACCACTGACCTACTTCTCTCTCCCACTTCCCCTCAGGTGGCCAGGAAGCTGGTGATCCTGGAAGGAGAGCTGGAGCGCTCTGAAGAGAGAGCCGAGGTGGCTGAGAGGTATGGATACCCTGGGTCTGAATGGACTGGTAGAACTCGGCCTGAGGGCTCAGCTGGGGACACTGTGCACAGTGGTCAGGCAGTTCCCCAGGCCAGAGGCCACAGGAACAGGCTTTGTCCTCTGATATATGCCCGCTGCCCCCAGCCGAGCCAGGCAGCTGGAGGAGGAGCTTCGAACCATGGACCAGGCCCTCAAGTCGCTGATAGCCTCAGAGGAGGAGGTAGTAGCCTCTCTGGGCCTTTCTAGGCAATGGCACCTTTTCTCACTCACCTCACGTCCCTCCCCAGCTCAGCGTCTCAGGCTACTGTCTCTCTCCCGCAGTAGGAATGGGGCGGGGGGCGGGGCTTCCAAACTCGGCTTTCTGTCACTCTCACCACTTTGCTCTTCTCTTTTCTCCTCCGCCCTTCCCCCACTGTGCCACCCCTCCCCGCGCCCCACTGTCTCACCTCACTGTGCCCTCACGCTCCATCCTGCCACACGCCCCTGCAGTAAATGTGGGGACCTAGAGGAGGAGCTGAAAATTGTTACCAACAACTTGAAATCCCTGGAAGCCCAAGCGGACAAGGTATAGGGTGGGGAGGGGCAGCGAGGAAGGGGCTGTGCAGAGGGGAGGGGAGGGCTTAGGTAGGGAGGGATAGGTGCTTAATGAAGGTCGACAGGAGCTTGAATGGATCAGTGTGTAGTTGAAGGATTCGGGATCGCTGAAGTGGTTCTCTGATGGTGGCATGTGTATGTCTCTTAAAGTATTCCACCAAAGAGGACAAATACGAAGAAGAGATCAAACTTCTGGAGGAGAAGCTGAAGGAGGTGAGAGAACCTGTGGCAGGAAACTGAGGGGTAGGGATGAAACAGAAGGGTGACTTGGGGGACATTCTCTCTGGGGAGGCCTCTTTCTTGGCCATCTCTTCTATCCCTTCTTTATTTCAGGCTGAGACCCGGGCAGAGTTTGCTGAAAGATCTGTGGCAAAGTTGGAGAAAACCATTGATGACCTGGAAGGTAAAAGGATACTCCTCCACACGGTCAGGTCACCTGTCCCTTATCTCCCTGTGTCTGCATGTGAGTCGGGTTACCCAGGGCTCTGCAGACTCTGCCAGGCCATGCCCACAACCCAAGCAGTTAAGTCCGGCTACCCACTGCTTCTGGGTTTAGAATAACGAGGATTCCCTGAAGAGTGAAAAACAGACTGCCAGGCTGGAGAGCTGGCTCAGTGGTTAAGTGCACTGGCTGCAATTCTGGAGGTCCCAGGCTTGAGGCCCAGCTTCTACAAGGTGGTTCACATTCTGTAACTCCAGTTTTAGGGGATCTAACATCTTCTGGCTTCTGTAGGAACCAGGCCTGCACACAGTGAACAGACACACTGGCAAAACACCTTTACAGGGGTTCTCTGTGTAGCCTTGGTTGTCCTGGAGCTCAATGTATAGCCCACTAGGCTGTCCTCAGACTCACAGAGATCCTCTTGCCTCTGCCTCCTGAGTGTGGAGACTAAAGGTGTGAGTCACCATAACCTGACTTTTTTAAAAAAAAATTATTATTTTGTATATATGAGTACACTGTAACTATCTTCAGACAGACACACCAGAAGAGGGCATCGGATCCCATTACAGATGGTTGTGAGCCACCATGTGGTTGCTGGGAATTGAACTCTGGAAGAGCAGTCAGTGCCCTAAACCACTGAGCCATCTCTCCAGCCCCACCTGACTTTCTTTCTTTCTTTCTTTTTGTTTTTTTTTTTTGTTTTTTTTTTGTTTTTGTTTTGTTTTGTTTTGTTTTGTTTTGTTTTGTTTTGTTGAGACAGAGTTTCTCTGTATAGCCCTGGCTGTCCTGGAATGACTTTTTTTTTTAATTGGAAAAAAGACAACATATTCCTGGGCTTGGAAGTGGCTCAGTGAGTAAAGCACTTGTCCCACAAACATGAGGACATGACTTCTACTACCCAGAAGTCAAGTAAAAGCCACCACAGTAGTCTGTGTCTGTAATCCGAGCAACAACTCCTGGCACCATAGGATGGAAACTGGGTGGTAGAGACAAGAGAATGACTAAGAAGCTCAACTGGCCTGGCATCTGAAGTGATGCTAAGACCTTGCCTCAAACAAGGTGAAAGTTAAGGACCAAAATACAAAGCTGACCTCTGACCTTCACAAGATACTATAGCATACACACCCCTGCAAACACACACACACCATACATATCCACAAAATTAAGTTGAATTCCTGAGGGCTGCAGTGGTAGATCACACAGGAGGCCCTGGTTTAAAAACAAAACAAAACAAGAGCCCACATGCTCTAGACCCTGCTCCAAATTCTTGCTGACTTTCACTGGACGTGGTCTCACCGTGAAGACCAGGCTGGCCTCAGATTTATGGCAATGTCCTGGAATCTGGCTCCACAGTGCTGGAATTACAGGATTAGGCTACAAGCTCCTTAATACTGGTGTTGCTAGCCTTGCATAACACTAATCTAGTAATTACCATCTCTAAGTACAAGACAATAGTGATATTAGAGAGAGCCCTGCCCCAGTGCTGGGATGGAACCCAAGGCCTCATAGGTTTTAGGCAAGTGCTCTACCACTGAACTGTCTGCAGCCCCAAGACTTCTGTAACAAATACTGTTTTGTTTTGTTTTAATTCAGTGCTGGGGATTGAACCTAAGACCTAAGGCCTCACACATGCTAGGCAAGTTCTCTGCCACTGAGTTATATCCCCAGCCACTACTTGATCAGATATGAGGGCTTACACAATACTGCTCATGAAAGATACTGCTTTGAGTTATACTCGGCAAAAGACAGGAATGCAGGTGTTTTCTGGTCAGTGGTTATTCCTATTATCAACAAAGGTGGCCTTTCTTTCCCTTTTGCTCTGATAACCATTTACTTTCATTACTTTTCATGTCTCCTGTTTCCAGTCTTCTCGGGCAGGCAGGAATTTTATCTCCTGGGTTAGGACTTTAGACTCCTGGTCAGCACCCTTCCGTCCCCTCTTAAGCATGCCTGCTTGCCTGCACAGAGCACTGTCCACAGGCTCCTGGGAGACTGTGTGTGTGTGTGTGTGTGTGTGTGTGTGTGTGTGTGAGAGAGAGAGAGAGAGAGAGAGAGAGAGAGAGAGAGAGCGCAGTTGGGGTACAGAGGAGCTGGGGAAGAGGGAGCCCTGACTGCCATCTACCCTGTCCTCCGGTCTCTCTCCTCTGTCCACCCCTCTGATTCTGTTTTCCATTTCATCATCTTCCTCTCCTCCTCCCTTCTCCATTTCCTCTCCCCATGCTCCCTCCTCCTCCCCCTCTTCGGACACCCCAGATGAAGTCTATGCACAGAAGATGAAGTACAAGGCCATCAGCGAGGAGCTGGACAACGCACTCAATGACATCACTTCCCTCTGAGTTCCCACTGTGGCTGTCGGGCCCCTTTCTCTCCTCTCTTTCCATTCTCTCTGAGGGGAGGGGGCAGCCAGGAGGAATACTAATTGGCCATGTTGCACAGCCAGCCTGAGGGCAGCCTGAGGGCAGCCTGAGGGACATGTCTGCCACCCCTGCCACCCACTCTGGCACTGGCTTTCTCCTGCCATCTGTCCACCATCCACTGACCTCTACCCCTCCACTACTTAATAAACTCTGAACTTGGTCTCCATGCTGTTCTCCTCCAGAGAGCTCTTCCTCACTCTCAAAGCTCTGCTTCACTCCTGAGACCCTGGCTTTTACTGCCATGCTCAATGTGTGCCGCTCAGCACCCTGCACTCGGCCCTCCTCCCTCAGCACACTGTGGCTCCCACAGACCCTCCTGCATGGCACTCCCAGCCTGTCACTTTCTGATAAGCAATGCATGTGGCTATATGTAGGTCCATGGAGCACACCTTCCCCCGCCTCGGCAGCCCATCACCAACCTTGGCGCACTTAACTGGGATTCCAGGATCTGAGGGAATGGCTGAAAGGGAAATGGGGTTCTGGGGTCAGGGGAGGGGGCCAGAAGGTCAGGAAGGACTGGAGTGAAGGTCGTTAAAAGTATTGGATCTCTACAAGAAGGGCTTTTGCAGCTGCTGCAGGTCTGTTTTCTGTCCCAGTTCTGTCTGTCTGACCTTCCCTTTCCTGGCTGAACCTTTGTCTTTCCTTTTGTTTCCAACTGTCCTAACCTTCTAAAGGAAGGCACCCCGTTTACAATACAGGTCTCCCCATCCCACTGTCACTCCTCCAGCCAAGGGCTGGAACAAGATTTGTGTCTGGAAAGTCCACCCATTTGTGCCCCTACCATCACAGGCCCCAGGTCTCCTAACATGCCCCAGGTCACATAACATATCCCAGATCTCCTAACATACCCCAGGTCCATCAAGTGTCTTCTAACATGGTTTTTGCTGTGTCGTCTTTTTCCCTCCCTGTCCACGGTTTCCTCCTGTTTACCCTCCCCCACCTCACCTGCTGCTTCCCCTCACAGAGACTTTGGCTAGTGCCAAGGAAGAGAACGTGGAGATTCACCAGACCTTGGACCAGACCCTTCTGGAACTCAACAACCTGTAAGGGCTGGCCCTGCTGCCTACCAGACTGCATAGTTGCCTCCTCAGGCCAATAAACTGATGTTACTGGCATGCCAGGGCCCTTTCAGCCTTTTTCTGTTGGCAGTGGAGCTGGAAGGACCCTGATTGAGTAAAGGCTGGCCCCCACTCCTGTAGTTCCGTCCCATTTCAGTGGGAGCTATGAGGTGTGGGAGTACCAGGCTCAGCAAGAGAGCTGTGTAAAATCCTAGGGGTTTGGGAACTATACTGGCCTTTGGGTCCCCACACGGCAGAGCTTCCATCCCTGGCACACCTCTGTTCCAGCAGGCACTGGACCAGACATTCTAAAGGCAAAACTGCAAGGATGGACAGATTTTCCTCCAACAGGATAAAAGCCAGAAAGACTAGCTCAGTGTGAATTGAAGTTTAGAGGTGTGGCCAAGCCAATCTCCTAACACAAACTGCTAGGTGTTCTTCCCCGCAATAGGTTCATATTCTAATCCTGGGAAATGCCACGTTAGCCAGAAAGAGGGGCTATTTGGGTGAGGAAAGAATTTGAAACAGAGGCTTAGGTTAACGGGTCAGGCTCAGAATAATCACAAGGTCCTCAAAGATCAGGAAAGCCAAGTGTGATGGCGCAGACTGTAATCCCAGCGCCTCGGAGGCTGAGACCGGAAGGACTGAGTGATCCAGTCCGGGCTTCAGAGTGAGGCTGTCTAGAAGGCAAAAGAGGAAAGGAAAGATTGTGGGGATGGGGGTAAGGTCAGAGGCAGTAGGGGAAGATGTGACAGTGGAAGCAAGGAATTGGAGCAATGTAAGGAAGGGGTCAGGAGCAAGGAATGCTGGGAAGGGGCCAGGAGTGAGGAATGTAGGCCTCATCTAAAATGGAAGAGTTCCACTTGGAAAAATCAGGGAGAATTTAGCCCCCACACACCTGGACAAACCATAAAGTTCATCCAGACTTCCAGCTCTGGGACTGTAAAAGTTACAGGAGCGTGACACCCCTGAGCTTGTGGAAGTTGTATTGTTTTCCCAGCAGCCATAAGAAATTAATATAACATATTCTTTTGATCTGAGGAATAAAGGAATACATGAGTTTTATTAGGAAGATTTATATATATTTTTTTAAATAATTGGGACAAGCCAGGCATGATGGCGCATGCCTGTAATCCCAGCATTCAAGAGACTGGGACAGGAGAACAGACAGTTCAAGAGAAGGGGCTGGAAGCTTAGGCCAGTGATAGAACACTTGTCTAGTAAGTACAAGACCTTGGACTCAAACTCCATCATCATACACACACAGTTCAAGGCTAGCCTGGGCTATATAGTAAGATCAAGGGGTGTATAGCTCAGTGGTAGAGCATTTGACTGTATAGCAAGAGCAAGAATTGTGGGGTGGTGGTGGTAGTGGTACATACTCTCTATCCCAGCACTAAGAAGGCAGAGGCACTCAGATCTCTGAGTTCAAGGCCAGCCTGGGCTACAGAGTGAGTTCCAGGACAGCCATGGCTGCACAGAGAAACCCTGTCTTCAAAACCATCAAAACCCAGCAAGAATTGAGTCCAGTCTGGCTTTTTCACTATAAGTTCCTATCACAATACTTTAAGAAAAAGAAGAAAGTTAAAAAGATGTAGTGGTTAAAAAGAAGCTGTATAATGGGCAGCACAGGACAAGGTTTCCAGATTCCTTTAGCTGGTTCCCCCTTATTAGGCTCCAGTTTCCGTCATTTCTGCTGGGCTGTAGCTGACTCTATCTTTGGTCCCACTTCTGTGCCTATAGAACAAGGAATGGGAATCAGAAAACCAACTCCGGATGAGAGCTCATTTGCAGTCTGGGAATTCTGGGTTATACAAAGAAGGCTGTGCCAAGGGCGGGCCGTAGATACCTGTGCTGCCGCCTTAGCTGTAGGAAGAAGGCAATGCTGGTGGCAGCAAAGAGAAGGCCAAACACCAAGGCTAGGATGTCACCTGGAAGGGGAAAGGGGGCTGCTTCAGGGGATGCCAGGGGTTTCCTTGCAAGCTGACTTCCCATACTTCTCTGACCCTTTCCCCAGTGAGTCTTCTGGCAGCCCCCAGGGCTTCAGTCTCCAGAACATTCCATCTGGAGGATGGAGGCAGAGAGTGAGAAGGGTAAGGCATGCAGTGTTCTCTCAGCAGCTAGGTAAAAGGCGTATTGGGGGAGAGGCCGCACAGGAGATTTCTGGAGCCTCGTTCTGACAACTAAGCCAGAGGTACAGGTCTCTTACCAGACCTATCACACTGATTTGGGGACAAAATTTATTCTATAGAAAAAGTAAAGACTATCCCCTGGGCTGAAATACTAAAAGGGTGTGCCCCCTCCCCACACTGGTGTCAGGAACAAGAGGGACCCAAACTCACCAGCAGCGAGGCAGGAATTCACAGGGACTGAAGAGATAAAAGGAGACATTAGAACCAGGGCCCATGAGTACCTGTGACAGACTGGTACAAATGGAGACACAGGAAGAAGCGGGACCAGTGGCTGGGGGTGTGACAACATGGGTTATCAGATAACTGGGCACCTGGCTCAGGGATGTTGTCCACTGCAGCAGGGAAGGAAGCCTCAATCATTCGCCCATTCAAGGGTTGCGTGGCTCGGAAATTCAGTTGTAGTCGAGAGTCATGAGGTCCCCACAGGGAAACGGAGAGAGTGTGGAGCTGGGGGGGAGGGGTTGGTAGATAGTACAGGCTCAAGACAAAAAGAAACGAGGGGTCCCCAACCCTCTATCTTTACTGCGTGGTCCCATCCTCACTTCTTTCCACATTCCTGTTTTTCAATATCCTGTGTCAATACCGCACCTCAGTCTCACCTGCTTAGCGCTGAGCTTCACCGTCTCATTGAACACAGTCCAGATGACCCCCTGGCTACAGGGAGGCGTGGTCAGAGATCCCTCATATCGGTAGTAGCGGCTGAGGTCTGAGGGCAACAGTGCAGATACATCCAAACCTGGGATCTCAATCTTGGAGCCTATGTACAGATAGAATCTGTGTTGAGGTCTCACCTAGATCACACACACACACACACACATGCACGCACATACACACACACACACACACACACTGTTTTGTCTAATCTTATTTTCCATTTCCTGTGGGTGGTGCTTCCCCTATCCCCATGTGTCTCTCATCAGTTTAATCATCACCAGTCAGAGCCAGTTCACCCTCAGCTCCTTCCATATATGTCCATTGGGCAACCCACCAACTAACCTTCCTCTGCGATCTCTTCCAAATGGGACAGCAACTGTTCATAGGCACTGTTTTCCTCTGGGCTCTCCTGCAGGGGTGGACATGGGATACAGTGCTAGGCAGATTGATACCCGTCTCTAGGACTACAGCTGGAGGCCTGAACATGGGATGGAGTTCCCATAGTCTTTCCCCATTCCTCACCTCTAAGAATGCTGGGTAATATACAATCTTATTAAAATTCTATTACTCATGCTTTGCAAATGAATTAGCAATGGCAAACTGATAGAGGAGGAGAAAGTTTCCCGGCCCCCTCATGCTAATTTCCATAGTTTTTCACTCATCGTTTTACACACACACACACTGGCATGGTTTCCAGAAGAAGACCATCATGTATATTGTACTTGTGTTGCCTCTGCATTCACTTTAATGACTATGCCTGCACAACGCTCCTGGGGCACGTCTCTGAACTTTGTGCTGTGAACGTCACACTGGTGAGTCTTATAGGAGTCCTCACTTCCTGGCCTCCTCCTGACATGTGTGTTCTTGATTAATACAGGTACAAAGAGGTCACTGAATACCGTACTTCATGAAGGGGAAATGAGGGTCTACAGAAGGAGCAGAGACATGACTCTTCCCCGGTCCTAGCTTGTTGCATGTGGCACTCCCTGACTGGTCCACACTCTCTCTTTCTTAGACTGTCCTCTCTCTGTGGCAGTATTCCTCCTTGTTTCCCACCAGTGAAAGATTTAAGTCTCACATCCTTTGTGGCCATTAATTTTAGTGTTCTCATGACTATCAAGCCAGCCTCCCTCCTAAAGGAAGCCTTCTGGTAGTCTGCTTCCTGGTTCCCTGCTGGTGCTGAATGAATGAACAAAGGAGTGAATGGGACTGACAGCTAATTGACCAGTTTGAGCTTGTGCTGGAGTGGTGTCTCTGCTACTGAGATGCATGCCCACAGGATGTGCGTGTCAAGTGGGATACCTGCAGAAAGGCAGCCAAAACCGCCAGGCCTCCTGGGCGACCCAAGGCTTCATGAAGTTCTGAGAAAGCAGTACTGAGGTGAACCACATGGATCTAGAGAGGATGTAAGGATCAGATAGCGGCCAGACCTCTGATCACACTCTCTTGGTTCCTTTTGGGATAGCCCAGTGCCCACCTCAGCAGGGAAACGGCGGCCATTGACTGTGTGTTCTGAGCCTGGGTGATCTGAAGTTCCCCAATGTAGATGCAACTGCAGGGCCCGATATTCTTGCCCAGGTCCTAGAGCCATCTTCAGCCCCGGCGGCAGAGTCAGCTGTACTGCGTGGGGAGTGGCAAGTGAGATGTCAAGCCACCCTTGAGCAGAACTCCGAAGCCCAGCTTGATTGCCACTCCCCTCCATAGGTCCCGCCCTAGACACCTCACCCGTGTGGCCATTGTTGCACAGGCTCAGTTCCGGGAGAGGCTGAAGCTCATAACCCAGTAATTCCAGGGGTTGCAGCGTGCGGCAGAATGTGGTGAGCTCCGGGCGGATGTCTACAGGGGACTGAAAGCGGCCAGCACAAGCTGGGGACACCTGGGGCCAGAGTAGGGTGCCTGGGATGAGAGGAAAGGGTGCAAGAAGTCTGGCGATCAGGACGGGAACCGTTAAGAGAAGTGAGGGGTGGAGTCAGGACGCTTGGAGGAGGGGTGAGGGTAAGGGGGTGGCGCGAAGGCGGGGAGGTGGGGGTAGAGTGAGGACCCGAACTACAACTGGGAATGTTGGTGCAGCGGATCACCAAGGCTAGGCTCCCAGATTAGATCAGAGTAGCCGGCGGTGTCTTACCTCCGTAACTCCAAAGACTGTGGCCACTGCCTGCAGAAATAAAAAGAATTAATAAGTCGGCTCTTACAGCCCAGTCTCTTCCCAGTCCCCAGAATGTAAAAGATTCCCTCCCGCTCTGGCAGGGGGCCTCACAGACCCAGATGTCTTACAAGATGTCTTAACAGGTAATAGAAAGGAATGTAGCAAGGCTAGGTGTAGACCACCACCAGCAGTGACTAGGCACCCGGAGGAGCCATCAGTAGACACACTGGTAGTTTGAAAACTACGGTCTGCAGCGCGGCTTCAGTTTGAGACCCAATCATCGTTCTTTTTCCTTTACTCACACATCTTCCCACTCATCCCTCTTTCCTTTCTAAAGTTCCTGGCTTAGAGCCAAGCACGGTGGCGCACACACCTGAAATCCCAGAACTCAGAGGTAGAGGCAGGTAAATGGGAGAAAATAGTTCAAGGCCAACCCGATCTACACAATAAGACCCTATCTCACCCTCGGCCCCAAAGCAAGCCAAAGTTCCTCCACCTGTCGATTGCTGTCTTCCCACATAGCAAGTCATAGGTGAGTGACGCTCTGAGCTCCCTGTGTGTCCTCCAGACCTCCCCTTCTCCCATTCTTTTCCCCTCCCCCTCCCTCCTCCCTCTCTGTCTCTCTCTGTCTCTCTGTTTCTCTGTCTCTCTGTCTCTCTCTCTCTCTCTCTCTCTCTCCACACACACACACACACACACACACACACACACACACACACACACACATTCCCCCCTCTGTCCATTCCTCAGTTCTATTTCCTCTTCAATTTCTCCATATTCTCTGCTTTTTCCTTCTCCTCTTTTAGGGGAGGGCGGCTACCTATTAGAGTACAATTGCCAAATGCTCTCTGCTAGGGTTGCTGTTTGGGGAGCGGAGGCATAAACTTACCTGAGCCTAGATTTGGAAGTTAATGATCACTTACCTTTTTCATGCCCGTGGGAACCTTGACTGTCCTCAGGAGCCTCAAGAGTCGGTATATCCTCTAACTTGAGGGAATCCCCCTTTCTGGCTTTAGAATTAACTTCAGGTGGATCCTCCCCACCGGGTGGATCCGGTGGACCCGCCTCTCCAGGTGCATCCTCTTCACTGGGCAGCTCCTCTGCGCCCAGATCATCCTCCCCAGATGAACTCTCTCCCAAGGAGAGCTCCCCCTGCATCCCGGACAGGTCCTGGGGATGAGCAGACACCAGGAGCAGCAGTAACAGTAGCAGCTGCACAGTAGGGGCTGGGGTCAACAAAGGGGCCCAGGGGCTGGGGCCCAGGGAAGCCATGCAGCTGTCTGGGGTGTCCCAGGACACGGTGTGTGGACGACGGGCTGTACGTGCATCGGAAATAGGAGCTGGGTAGGGGAGGAGCAAGCCTTGAGGGGAGCAGGCTGACTCACAGTGCCCTTTTGTAGAGATGGAGCCAAAGTCCCACAGGTTCTGTCTGGCCCTATGCCCCCTCCCCGATACCAAAGCCTGGACACTGGTCCAGTAATAGGTAGGGTTGGGTGAGGGGCAGGCGTGTTCATAGGCAGAAGGTTATCAGGATCACTAGCTCAGCTTGGAACCCAAGGCACCACCTGGCACTGTATAGGTTCTCCCTGGCACCACCCAGCTCCTGGCCAGTCTCTGCTAGGCCTGGCCTGCTTCCCAGCCCTGGCAGGGAAGGGGAAAGAAGGAAGCTGGGGGCCCTGTAGAGTTGGACTGAGGAGGCAAGAAATCCATGTATATATCCTGGCCCAGTCAGGTCTTGGGTAAAGGGGCAGGTAAAGACAGTGGACGAGCCTAGGGTTGAGAAGGTGGAGAAGCTCACAGCTAAGAAGAAGACAAACTTGAGCTTGAATGTTTGAGTATACATATGAGAGATTCTGATGGCTCCTCCCACCCCCTGCCAAAGTAGGACCACTTTCTTTTCCGACTTCCAGGTTTTCAAAACCTCACCCAAGAATCCAGTCTTGTCTCTTACTTTTCCCCCTAATGTTCTGGTCAGATTATTCGTGTGTGTGTGTGTGTGTGTGTGTGTGTGTGTGTGTTCATGCAGATGCACTTTTTTGCTTTGTTTGTTTGTTTGTTTTTCAGTGCTGGAGACTGACTCTGGGGTGCCATGGGCACCATGCAAACACTCCTTCACTGAGCTACGCTCCCAGAGCTAAACTATTCATTTTTCTCTCCAAACTTTGTACTGCCTTTGTCAATCTCTGTCTTGGTCCCAGAATGCCATTTGTGTTTGCACGCTGTGCTTGTTTAATACCCGAGGTATGTTAGGCACTGGGCTGTGGACTAGGGATTCAGAAATGAAAATGAAGGCTCCCTACCTGAGGAGCTCTCACTCCAGTGAGTGGAGACAAACATCATAATTCTGCCTCAAGGAAATATGGAAGTGGGTAGAATCTGTTCCCATCTGTAAAGCAGAGGTAGAAGCCCCACGGGGAGGGGTTGATAATCACAGTAAGGAGAATGGAATTCTAGACAAAGAAGAGACATGGGATAGTTTGAATAGAGGCTGGCCAGATGGTTGAGTGGGCAAAGATACTTGCAACCAAATCTGATGATCCAAAGTGGAACCCCAGAACCGACATGGTGGAAAGAGATGTGTGCCATGGTACATGCATCATGCACACACAACAACAACAAATAAAGAGATGTAAAAAGAAATCTTTTGAAGACCGTGACAGAGCGCAGTTCTTATATCAGGCCATGTGGGAGACAACTATGAACACGGATTTCACAGGGAGCCTGGGTGTAAAGAATCAGGACAGAGCGAGAATGGAGGGGGCTCCCAACCTGTCCATTAACGAACATTTACCGAGCCTCTCCCAATCTCCCCGATACTGCTGTCGTCCTCAGGCATGCAGCACAGAATAGAAGACAGCCTTTAGTTCTGCAGCTCACATTCCCAGGAGATCCCCATGCCTCAGCAACTGTAAAAGAATAAGGCCATTTCATGCTCATACCTGAGATTATTCAATGAGCACGCACCAGTGTCTAATGTCTAGTGTGGGTGTCTAGGTTAATTGAGTGCATTGGGTTATTTTTATTCCTGTCACATACGGCTCTACATCCCATGGCCCTAGGTATCCCAGCTTCTCATTGAGAGCCTTCTAGATGATTCAAGATCTAAATACAAGGTATTGCCTAGTACAAAAGGGTCCAAGGAACCTTATTTGAGGGACCCAACCTGGTTATTTTTATTTCATGTGCATTGGTGTTTTGCCTGCCTTTTATTTGTGTGAGGGTGTCAGATCCCCTGGAACCGAAGTTTCAGACAGTTGTGAGCTGCCATGTGTGGGTTCTGGGAATTGAACCCAGGTCCTCTGGAAGAACAACCAGTGTTCTCAACCTCTGAGTCATCTCTCCAGCCCTTCACTTTGGTTTTTAATGTTTGTAACACACCATGGTGTTTGATGTTTTCATTATCTTACTTTTCTAAATCCCTTCTATTCTTTGACTCAGCTCCCAGGCAATTTTTCCAGGAAGCTTTTTTCCTTTTTTTGAAGTTTGATTTTTAAGTGTGTGTGTGTGTGTGTGTTTGGATATGGAGGCCAGAGGACAACTTTATGGAATCAATTCTTTTCTACCTTTATGTAGATTCCAGGGATCAAACTCAGCTTGTCATGGACCACAGGAGTAGAGAGAACCATACTGTTAACTGCAGCCTGGGGTCGTCATGGAAACCTTTCTCCAACACCAATCTTGGCCCCTACTCATTTTCCTTCTTTCTAAATATCCTGAACATTTCAGTCTTGTCAGGATTTTTGTATACTTCCTGGTAACACGAGATCCCACACCTCAGGGGCTGGAGGGATGGCTCTTCCAGAGGACCTGAGTTCAATTCCCAGCAACCACATGGAGGCTCACAACCATCTGTAATGGGATCCGATGCCCTCTTCTAGTGTATCTGAAGACAGCTACAGTGTACTCATATAAATAAAAATAAATCTTAAAAAAAAATCCCACACCTCTAGGGGCGTCTCTTCCTTCCTTTGTAGGTTTCCTGCCATCCTGTCAGGCTTGCAAGGCAAGTGGCTTTATCTGCTGAACCATCGTGCTAACTGGAGGAAGCCTTTCTTAACCAACTCTCTGCCCACTTCTGTCTGGAAGAGTTTAGTGGTGCCTCTGAACCACCACCGTTCTGTGTCTGACCTCGATTATGATTTTGCTCACAGTTTAATCCCTATTATGGTGATTTATGACATTTTATCTGCTCTTGCTGACCTTGTGCTCCATGAGAGCAGGGCTCATGGTCCCAATCTTTTAATCAACCAACAGCTATTATCAAATATTTCCTCCCTGCAGAACACCTTGTCAGGTACTCTTATCTTAGGGGTTCACTGCCAATGACTTGTGCCAAACCACGACTGCACCCCCCAAAACCTTCATTTGCTGTTGTTTGGGACAAGGTCTGATTGTGTAGTCCAGGCTGGCTTGGAACTCACTTTGTAGCTTCAAACCCTAAATAATCTTCTTGCCTCAGTATCCTTGTACTGAGATTACGGGGATGTATGATCACGCCTAACATGAAATCAGTTACGGCACTTCAAATTGTCTGACAGTCATATTCTACATCAAAATTTCTATGTCTGAATAAAGCTGTCCTCCATGTACTCACCTTAGAAGGCAGCCAGCCAAGGAGTCTAGGTTGCCTTTCTGAGATTGGGATGTGGTCACCTAGCATGGACAAAGCCCTGTTGGCCTTTCTGAAGCTAAGGTCGGTGCCATCCATGACATTCTGATGCATTGCATGCCCTGAATAGTAGGCTGTCTTCAGAACCTTGCTTGGACTCTAGCATGTGGAAGAAACACTGTACTACCTGAATTGGATAGACATGTCAAAGGCAGCCTGTGGTAACAGCTAGTCTAGTCTGGGATGGAGAGGCCACAGGAGCATGGAGGACCATACTGTTAACTGGCAGCTGAGGGCTGCATGGATACCTTTCTCCAGCGCTGATCTCAGTTTTACTCATTTTCCTTCTTTCTAAATGTTTGGAACATTTCAGTCTTGTCAGGGTTTTTGTATGCTTGCCGGCAGCACCATGATCCTGCATCTCTAGATGCAGCTCTCCCTCCCCTTTGCAGAGCTTCATCTCTGTGTTTCAGATCACAGATCTGCTTGTGGGTACAACATTTGGTTATAGTTTACTGACTTTCCAAATGTTCTTCTCTACGGTTCTGTGTCCCTTAGTCTTCTGTCTGCCTATGTGGCCATTTCCCTGGTTTGGGTGGAGATGTGGACTCTGATCCTGGATCATACCTTTATAACTCGGGAGTCTGCCAAACCCTAAAACAAGTTAGAGCTCTGGGTTCTTGTATACTGAATCTAACCAACCGGGACACTCCCTGCCTGGCACAGGGCACCTCCACGGTTGTTTAAAGCCAAGTCTTTGGTCACTGGGATCTGTGTTTCTAAAACCTGGGTTGCAGAACCTTACTCATTGGTAGAGTAGGAAAAAAGCCCCCTTCTCCCTAGTCATGGATTGGAAGCAAAAATTAGGGCAGGCGGTGGTGGCATACTCCTTTAACCCCAGCACAAGGAGGCAGAGGCAGGTGGATCTCTGTGAGTTCAAGGTCAGCCTGGTCTACACAGAGAGTTCCAGGACAGTCAGGTCTACACAGAGAAACCCTGTCTCAGAAAAAAGCAATTAAAAAAAAAAAAAAGAGGAGAAAGAGGAAGCAAACGTCAAAGCTGTTTTGAGCTGACCCATAGTTCAAGCCCATTTTACTACTGTTTCTAGGGCTACAATAAAAATTACCACAAACCCATAAACTAGGTGCCTTGTGGCAAAGGAATTTTTTTTTCAAGACAGGGTTTCTTTGTGTAGTTCTGGGTGTCCTGGAACTCACTCTGTAGACCAGGCTGGCCTACTCAGAAATCCGCCTGCCTCTGCCTCCTAAGTGCTGGGAATAAAGGTGTGCACCACCACCACCCGGTGGAATTTTTTATTTTATTTCAAAGTTTCGTAGGCCTTAAGTAAGTCTAGTGTGAACTGGCAGGACCAGCTTACCTCAGAGGCTCTGGAAAAGCCTCTCTTGTTGCCACTTCTGGATTCTGGTGGTTTACACCTTTAATCCCAGCATTTGCTGGGCAGAAGCAGGCAGATCTCTGTGTTTGAAGCCAGCCTGGTCTACATAGTGAGTTACAGGCCAGCCTGAGTTACATGGTAAAACCCTGTCTCAAAACACAGTAACAATAACAATAAACAATGGGTCAACAGCAAGCATTCTCAGTTGTGTCTGTGAAGACCCTTTTTCCAGATAAGATTACACTTGCAAGTCTGGGGGTTGCCATGGATACAGAAATGGACATGTCATTATGTAGCCACCGTTTAGTCCATCAGTGTAGAGGAACTAAAGTGGATACATTTCAAGATGTCCTCAGTGTGTCTCCTCAGCCTCATCCTCTTCTACTAAATGGACAATGCTGCCAACCCCAGTTCACAGGCTCTGTTCCCAGCCCCTCTCCCACCAGCCTAGAGAAT